AGTAAAAAGCCTTATTTCATAGTGTCCTGGGTTCAGCTGTAACAGTTGCTTTTCTCCTTCTTTAGTAGCTGGTGCAGTGCTTTGTTTTTTACTTTAGCCTGAGCACAAAGCTGATAGCACACTGATGTTTCAGTTGTTGCTAAGTATGCTTACTCTGATCAAGGACTTTTCAGTCTCATGCTCTGCCAGTGTTGAGGGGCACAAAAAGCCAGGAGGAAGCAGAGTCAGGGCACCTGACCCAAACTAGCCAAACGGGTATTCCATACCACAGCACGTCATGCCCAGTATATAAAATGGGGGGAGTCACTGCTTGGGTTGGGCTCAGTACTGATTGGTGCATGGCATTGTGCATCACTTGTGTTTATTGTTTCTTTCCCTTTCCCCTTTTAGTTCTGTATTCTTTCCCCTTGTTATTTCCATTATCATTATTATTATCGGTGGCAGTAGTGGTTTTGTGTTATACCTTAGTTACTGGACTGTTCTTATCTCAACCCGTGGGAGTTACGTTCTTTTGATTCTTCTCCCCATTCCTCCAGGAGTTGGGGGGAAGATAGAGGTAAGTGAGCAAGTGGCTGCGTGGTTCTGTGTTACTGGCTGGACTTAAACCATGACAGATAAGGAATGAGACACAAACGTTTACAAGCTTTTATACAGTTCTGTGTAGACTGTGTAAAGTTCAGAAAACAAAAGCAAACAAAACCTGAGTATCCCTCCCCTCTGCAGGAGTCGAGATAAAACAGTAATTCAGTACATATTTCATGTAAACTACATACTGAATCCATATGCATGGCAGTAGAACTGAACTCTATTCTCCAAATTCAACCTCTTAGCCCAAACTAATTCCTTCTCTTTGGTTTACTGAGTGTTGAATTTTGATTCAACAGGACAGGAAGAAATTACTGTTGCCCAGTACAAGTCACTGCTACAGATTATGCCCCTCATTAGATGGAAGGTAAGAATTTACATTTTCTTGGACACAGAAAGGGATTTAAACTTGAGTCCTCCAATATTCTTGGTTATATATCATTTTCTGCTCACAAAACAATATATAAAAAAGATCTTCTCTTGTGATATCTTAAAAACATATGAGAGTTAATAACTTGCAAGGGTCCCAATACAGTCAGTTACAGGATTCTGGAGTACGTAAGTAGAATGCATATTAACTGTGCCCTTCAGGGCAAACTCACCTATTACATTTTTAAAAAGGTAACCTCAGTTCTGCTTCCTAAAGAAAGAAATAGGACCAAAGTTTAGTCTCCTGATTCAATTAGTAGCATTAAGCCTAAACCCTAAAAGGATTAGACATCCTGCCATTTCACTACATTCTCGATTGTGTATCTCAGTCTTGGATACGTAACTCTGTGCACCATGTAAGGAATGTTGGTGCCTACAGTTGATTACGTATTGCAGTGCCCAAATGTGTTTATAGATCTTGCCCAGAGTCATTCTGTCTGTTAAATGATGTCATCTCCCAGGTCACATTGATTTTTCTTGAAACTAGGCTCCTAAGTCACTTCAGTCCTTTAAAAACTACTACATAAATCTGTCAAGATATTCTTATTTGCTAAACCACATACCCTTTATCTCTTTCCCATCACAGCAGCTATTTCTGTTGAAAGGGAATTAGTCACATAACCAAAATGGCAGCGGTGTAAACTGTATTTTTTCCTATTACAAACATAACTGCTTGACAAATAAGGTTTTAAACAAAACAGATGGTACATACTTGAATTCATAATTCTTCCTAATGCATAGGCAGTAAATAACAAGTAGCTGAAATGCTCCAGTATTTAATATACATGCATTTAGGGAGAAAAAAAACATAGGCAATAAGCCATGTCATAAATAAATATTTAGGATATTTGCCCTCAAGGCGCTTCCATCACACTTCACCAGGAAGAGCAATATTTGAGGTGTTCACTGTAGAGTGGTTTGGCCCCAAACAGAACACACTTGATTGCTCAGTTGTGTCGCAAACAATAGGAATAAAAATAGTACGTACTTTTTTTTAACTAAAATTGAGAAAAAAAATCTCCAAGAATTTTTTTCTGAGAGGTAAAAAACAATTCCCAAACTGTTTTATAGATTAAAATGGTTACAGACTCCCTCACTATACTGATGGAATTCATCAGGATAGAGAACTATCTTCTTTGGAAGTAATTGCTCTCAGGATTCAAACAGCATCACTGAAATAATTCACTGCAATGGAATGAAATGTATTCATTTTGCTTTAAAATATCTGTAAAATTTTGCATGCCTCAGAATTACAGAAGAAAGGCAAAAATATAGGTTGCTATAATCATATTTACAAGATATAATGTGTCCATCCTTGCATTCCACGCACTCATGAGATGATAGATAATATGAAAGATATAATAAAATGATACTTGCCCTTTTCTGGCTCTTTGGTTTATAGCGCAAGGAAGGGTGCAAGATTGCGATTAACTCTCTTTTAAGCACATGGTGTTAGGTTTGAAGGGCTCTGTTCCTTTTATCTCATATAGTTCTTTCCTATCACATCACATTATATGCAGGTATTTGTTGTATTTGTGTGGGGAAATACAGACTAAAACTACTTTTCATGTAAAGACTTCATAGAAACAGTATTAATTTGAAGTATACCCTAAAATACAGCTGATACTTGGGAATTAATATTATGTATAAATTACAGTCATGCCTGAGATATACAGGGTAGCAAGAATTGATGGCAGTTTTTCCATCCCTATTAGAATAATTTATAATATACAATAGATCCTGTCAGGTACAATGTGCTGACATCTTTACATGAAATGACAAAAAGAGAAATACCTAACAATATACTCCCAGGACAGCATCAATTAACACTGCCAGACTAAGCAGTTCTTCTTACTTATCTTACTAGAATGGCTTATTTAAGAAACAAAACAAGACTTCTCAAGAGGTTTGCAATGTCATTAGTTTTATTCTTCCTTTCACCTCAAATGCTGAATAGGCCTTTTTTTTTCTTTTCATAGTTAGCTGTACCTGTCAGAAACGTGGCATATGTTTTCTCATCCTGATACCTTGTGTCCTTCAGTGATGTTTCTCCTGGGCATCCTCCCTGGCATTCAAATAGGACCTTGGGAGTATAGCACCCTCTCTTTTCCCCCTGCCACTCTTCTCCCTTTCCCTCCCTCTTCTCTCTCCTTGACCCCTCCCTCCCCCCCCCCCCCCCCGACCCCCCGATCCCTTTCTGGGGGGTAACTGTCCCATATTTTTCACTTACACAGCACTATTTAAATCTTGGCATGATCAAAGTCTATCTGAGGTACTTGGGAAAGTAACAAATTACCTCATCAATTATATTCGTGTATAAAGAGAAAGTTAAAAAAGGAGCAAACTTGGCAACACATCTGAACACACACAAAAGTCAGTCTTTTTGTAATATTACGATTCCTTCCTAATTTCCAAAGTTATGGAAATAGATTACTATGGAAATATCCAAACAGACTTCTGAGAATTCAGTTTTCTGATTAATCTAAGCATTGCAGGTACATTGGAAGAATATAAAGAAAGCATTAGGTAGCACACTGAGATATAATGAGAACGGCTTCCCCTGTCTCACAAGATTCTGGGATTTCATTCAAGAAGAAAAAATGGTTTTCTAAAAGTTTTTTTGATAGAAAATCTATAAAAACCCCATAAAAGTACCATATGACTACCACAGCCATAAGAGCAAAAGGCTGAATATTACAGGCATTCTTCTGGGACATAAGACCAGGCCTGAAGTCCTTGGTCTATCAGACCCCTTTCTGGGAATACCACATGTTGTGAGATGAACCTCTGACTTTTTCAGTCACAATATATACTCCCCCCAGACTACTAAGATTTTCTCTCAAGAAAAGCTCCATCCACATGATTTTGTTCCGTAAGAAGTCCAGCACAATTCCCAGAGCATGTGCAACTTTTTAAGAACCTCCCCCTCTCCTCCATGGACACACAGAAAAAAACCCACACCTATTAACGTCTGTCACTCAAAACATACATTCTGGGAGACTGAGGTAATTATGGAACTTCTGGTTTGTTTGGTTTTTGTTTTGGTTTTGGGTTTTTTTAAGGCAATGTTGAAAGGTATGACTAAATATTAATTAATTCAGGATCTCCTATCTCTGTCAGTGTATGCATTAAAGCATATCTGTGGTGGGCTCTTAAAGTACCCCATGTGTTTAAAAATGAAGTAATCACACACATGAAGACAACAGCAATAAATTACTGCTCTTTCTTTCTTTCTGGTTGCCAAATCCAAGTTTAGGGCAGATTACAATGTCCATATTATCCCTGCTAACTTCCTGACTTACAAATACCAATTCTAGTGAAACCTTGTATCCTATTCCATGTGTCCTTGAGAGACAAGAATATTCTCTGTGAGAGCGGACAATACAGCTTAAAACTTAATCAACCATTGCTACAGAAGAGAGAGATAAAGAACAATGAAGTACCATGAAGAACAGTCTGGGCACTGGGCACAATATGACACTCAGTTATTTCCCCCAACTGAAACTCAAACCCAATGTATCCTAAAACTAGAGCTCTCAAAATTAATAGTTTGGAACTAAAATCATACTTTTTACTAAAAACTAAAAACGCAGTTAGCATGTTGTCATATTAAAAAAAAAAAAATATCCTATCCTAACCATGTGACATTTTCTAGCAGTTTAACAGTATCCTTTTAATCTTGTACAAAGAAAAAATATGATTAAAATGTAACAAGCTTTTAATATTTTATTTCCACACAGGAAGCTTTTTCTCTGCAGCTACCAAATTAATTAAATTTCTCCTTTCTAAGAAGAGAAGAGTTAAAATTTGTCTTTTATATGTAAACACGGCTTTCACAAACAGGAAGCCAAAGTCTATGTTGATTAGTACCATCTGTATTTCTCTGTTATCAGCCAGATAGGAAGAATTGACATTCTCCATTTTCTTTTCTAACTGATAAACCTGAAGGAATTATATTTGAAATATTAATTTTAGGAGGTCCTTACCTTAGAAGTATTTTGCAGTTCCTTTTGGCAGTCTATTGGAATGGAATATTTACCTGTTATAAAGCAGATAAGGTAGTATTAGTGATATCTTAGAATATGCAGCTAAAGTAAATCACCTTCATTAGTTAGTTAAATATATACATATATATATATATATATATATATATATATGGCAATTATGTTCTCCTCAGTGTACTTCTGTGATATTCATCAAGGAAACTCTGGGTTCAGGAAATCTGATATGCTCTTAAATTAAAAAAAATAAATAATTTAAAAAAAATTATGCTCAATGTGACTCAATATGATTCAGGTAGCCCCTAAGTGCTGACCTCCCACTTATTTTTGCATTTATGGGCAAAATGCCTTTATTAGTCTAAGCATATTTCAGTAGTTGTTTTCTCTACAGAATTTTCTACAATATCTAGAATTCAAACAACTTTGCCAACAAGGACTTTTGTTGTCCAGCATTTTCTTGTGTCTTGTTTCTTTTCTATTCAAGTGCTGCCTTGTTTAGCACAATTTTAAGTTACAGTGAGTAAGAGCTACTTTTTATTTCTCCAATTGAACAATGTCTTGCACACGGAATTGTGATTCAGAGGTGTTATGACCGTAAATACATAAACAATGTATGCAACTTAGCATATGATAGCATGGTATGGTGCATACCAAGAAAGACAAGACAAACATTTACTAATCATACATATTTGCTATTTAGTGTTCTGTTTTTAAAAGTTCATTAGATTTTCTGCATCGAGTAAGATTAACTGACAAATTCAGGAAACAATAACAATAACAACAAAAATCTACTTCCAGCGCTCTAGGACTAAAATCAACTCATTTCTCTTTTTTTTCCCCATCACTCTATTAATCACAGAATACATATTTCTTAGAATCTGAATGTATTTCTTGTTAGGTTGTAGTATTGGAGGTACATCCTGATAGAGTGGAAGTCTCATAAAAGCAGCTTTTGGATAAGAGCACAGCAAATTTACTGTCTCACTTCAGTGCTTGTACTGTTTTTCATTTATTTTCATCACTGCAAAAGTACAGAAATGATAACTGAAACTTTCCTCTATGATAAGAAAATGTGAAATAATACCCCCAAGATCGCATATGTGCATGATAGCAATGTTTCACTCATTAAAAAATCATAAATTTTTGAAAAACACAATTTTCAGCAAGACACTGTTGGTAAAAAGTATGTTGGTTTCACTGCCACCACCAACAAAGTTTTTACTGACAGTGCTCCTACAGTTTCATCGTAGAAAAGAAATGAAGCACTTGAAAGGGAAAGTACAACAAGGGGTCAGGAAAAAATAAATTTTATTTGTAAAAATAAGGGGTGAACAAGGTTTCTCACTCTTACCTACACTATTTAAAACTAATTGTAAAAGCTGTGATGCCTTTGGAAATATACTATAAAACAAATGAAATTGCAGTTAAATATATTTTATGTTTAAAACTTCTTTTAAAATTCTTAGAAAACTTTTAATGAAGTAATTATGCTGTGGTAAAAATGGGGTAGATTTACAAAACTACTCTGTCAGTATGTCATCCTTGATAACATGAAAAACTGAAAAATATAGGTAAAATATTTAAAATCCCATTGTATTACTAAATGGAATTTCTTATGTTACAAATTTCTACCTACTCAGAAAGCTTGAGAACCATATTTTGGCAGGACATTCAGCATTACAAACCTGTTCATTACTTAAAATAGCTTTTTGTTCCTTATCTTTGGAGCATTCGTGATTTCTGGAATTTCTGCCATTTTGTACTGCAATAACATATTTACTTGCCACTGAATACTCTAAAATAACAAGAAAATATTGACCTGTATCTTCAAATATGCACAATTAATGAAGTGTTACAATTTCAGTTTGGTGTAGGAGAATCATTTTGCAGGAGATTTCTGCTGCTATTCCAGTAAGTACTATGTATAAGTATCTGAGTAAGTACCATGCAAGTACTTCTAAATCAACAACTATTTTGTTGCCTGCAAACCTTCAAAAAGAAGGGTTTACAGAAACACAAATATGGAAATTTAAAGATCATGAATATTTAACGAAGTTTAAAAATTTACTGTTAAAAATACCTTGCACTTGTTTATTGATTAAGATCAATACACCTTTAGCCTTACAAATTCTTTCTGTGTAAGCAATGATAATCTAAAGTGGCTTCTGAGTAGATAATTGCTTATTTATGGGATTGCAGAACATCTAGCTACATATATTCTCAGTTGGAAACAAAAAATATTCTGTCCAAAGGGTGAATGCTAAAATAATAAATTGTAATCTGAAGGATAGTAAATAGAAAAATCATGTAAAAATACAGTGGAAAAACAGACAGCCTGGGAAATTCACACTTTTGGGTGGCATTTTCTTTATTCAATTTTTTTATTAAAAAAAAGTCTTAGTAATAAAAGCTATCTTCTCTTTTTGCATTCTCTTTGCATACTGTTTTTGAATGCCATACTGAAAGCCCTATAAATTCCATTTCTTTTTTCAACTTCTTGACTGCTGTGTCTTTTACCAACTGTTTGGTATTTCCATTGATGTTGTTCCATTTCAGGGGTATTTGAGTTTATTTTATAGCAAACAGAAAAGATATTTTTATTGTAAATATTGACTAATCTTTTATTGTTCTCACTGCAAGGAAATATGACTGTATTATACAAGCATGTGCTGACAGGTAAGTAGAGAGTAACTTGATACATCCTTCTATTATCTGAAGTGATTAATAGGTACAATTATCGATGGCAAACATCCTATTCTAACATTGCTCTGTTGAAAAAGATGTTCACAGAATTGAGGGCCAGTTTAGATCTGAAGATCACTAAATAACATGTTACCATGGTAGCTGCTCACTGTAAACTCTATCAGAGTAAGTGGACAAAAAAATTATAAAAAAAAAATTATTCCAAAACATCACCAAGTCCTTCTGACTTTTGATATCTTGACAAGTTTTTGATGTGTGATTTCAGAAACTGTTAATCTATACTGCTTTTCTCAACTACATTCATTCTACATACTGTGAAATATAAAGTCTACTGTTTTATTTCAGAATGCAGATTTTCTATTATCCTCGCTAAGCACCCCGGAACTTGGGGATCTCTATAAATGAAAGATAATCTGGTTTTTTAGCAGCAGTTTTTGAACTACAGATCCATTAAATATGTACTTCCTTGTTTTGGGGTGTTTTGTTTTTTTTTTGTTTGTTTGATTTTGGTTTGCGGTTGTTGTTTGTTTGATTGTTTTATTTTGTTTTGGCTTGTTTGTTTTTAATTTTAAGCCTTCAGAGTGCAGCATAGGGGCTGTCTGGATACATGATTGTGAGTCAGTAGAATATGTATGCTGGCAGTGTCCTTAATTCAACATGTATTTGATTGTGAGGGCCTTTTCACTGTATATGCCACAATTCGCACAGTTTCTCGGGGCTTTCTAGAACTTGAATCAATGTGTATTAATTTTATTGCATTTAATTTTTTTTTAACTTTGAGTTTATCAGAATTATTTAAGCAAGTGGCACCACATCCTGACTTCCACAGCTATCCTGAATCATAGAATCATAGAATAGTTAGGGTTGGAAAGGACCTTAAGATCATCTACTTCCAACCCCCCATGACATGGGAAGGGACACCTCACACTAAACCATCTCACACAAGGCTTCGTCCAGCCTGGCCTTGAACACTGCCAGGGACAGAGTATTCATAGCCTCGCTGGGCAACCATTCCAGTGCCTCACCACCCTCACAGGAAAAAATTTCTTCCTTATATCCAATCTAAACTTCCGCTGTTTAAGTTTTAACCCATTACCCCTTGTCCTGTCACTACAGTCCCTAAGGAAGAGTCCCTCCCCAGCATCCCTATAGGCCCCCTTCAGATACTGGAAGGCTGCTATGAAGTCTCCACACAGCCTTCTCTTCTGCAGGCTGAACAGGCTGAACCCGTTAACATGTATGGGTTATATTATTACATTAGTATCATCAGGCAAAAGTTTTTAGCTCAGCAAAAGATCACTTACATTCAAAATCAAGTAAGGTATTGATTTTTGCATCAGAAAAAAAAAAAAAAAGACTAAAACTTAACCATCTAGAATCACCTTAATATATCCCTAAAATGAGTAGTAATATATAAAATAATATTTGCAAAAAGAATTTTAGACTAATGAAGTAATACTTGCATATATATGTATCAAATATCTCCCTAAGGAAAAAAATAGCATGCATATGTCTCAATCTCAGAAAGAAAGAAGAGAAATCCTTTTGGGTTTTCTCCAGAATTATCACCTACCAGTAGATCTCATTGTTATGCTCTTACACAGTCTTAGTGCCAGTTTACCCAAAGTATTATTTTTATTCTTGGGCTACTCCAATTTCTGCAGACAGCTTATTTAACCCTAATTTTTTTTTTTTCTTTTTTTTTTTTGGGGGGGGGGTGTGGTGGTTTTTTTGGGGGTTGTTTTTTTTTTTAATGCATTTCCTAAAATGCAGTCAGCAGAGGAGAAAAGGTTTATAGCTCTTTTCTTTGACTTTATAAATAATCAGGCTTACCCAATCTGTCAATAGCAAAACCACATAACTCCCTTGCAACCCACAACAGTTCTATGGTCATTTGCTTTGTATATAGTGAAATAGCAAAAGATTTGCTACTCATTACTTTGCCTACCCCATTACAGCCAATATCTGTCGCACCCACTGAGCGACAGGTGGCATAGAAAGGAAAGAAGTGTAGAGAACTGACCTTAAAAATTAATACACAATAGAGTATAACACATTTAAAGATTATGATAGTTAACTAATTTTCAATAATTTAAAACAAATACAGTTCATCATCATAAGACATTTAAAGAAATTTAGATCTTGACAACCAGCCACTTTTGTATTTTGGAGAAGATCAGAACGAAAATTGATATTAACAGTACAAGTACCATAATTTGGATTTACATAAAGCCTTTAATAATGTCTCAAATGATAGTCATCATCTTAAACTGAAAGCAGGGAAGATTCAGGTTAAACATGGGAACAGATAAAGAACTGATTAAAGTAAAGTGAT